GCCCACGGCCCGCCCGCCCCACGGCGCCTCTCGCGCAGCAGCCATTGGCTTTAAAAAAAATCAGAGTTCCTTTTTTCTGCAAAATGGACTTGATTTTTTTATTACTTGGTCGATTTCATTCCTGTCTCCTGCCACAGATTACCCAATGCTTTTGTCTTTTAAACTGACACATAATCCCACTCAGGTTCCTCATTGCTGTGTTCAAAGTGTCACTTCTCAGATTCAAAGTTAATTTTATTTTGCTTCTCCTTCCGAAGAAGTGAGAGGTTCTATTTTAAGCTCCTTTTACCCCATACTTCCCCTCCAGGTTTATTTTTATTTTCCCATTTCCCTTTTGGCCGGGGATGTACAGGTGCTGTGCTGGGCTCTTCTAGTGCTGGGGGACGGTTGGGTGGCCCCTTGTAGCTGTGGAGTGGCCCCAGTGGCTGGCAGAGGCATGGAGTTCCACCTGGCCCAAAACATGTGCGTTGTCTGTTTCTAGAGATGCTGTAAGCTTTTAGACATGGGTTCCAGGCTTTTCTCCCGAGGAAGGTTTTGAGGCCCCGACGACTGAAAGGAAGTTAAATTGGGCATTAACTAATAACCGTTCACATGCAGACATGTGTAGCACTTTGCAGTCAGGCTGTCACCGTCTATGGAATAGGTAGAGAGAAGTGAGCGCCATCTCACCGCGGGTGACCATGGGGTGAGGGATGGGAGAGGCTGTCAGGAAGCGTCCGGAAGCCGAACCTTATTAATAATTACCTGGGTAGTGAAGCGGAGTTTTAAGTTGGGGTGGAGAGGACGGTGGGCCGTGGGAAGCTGGGTGGAGAGCTGACTGTCTGGAGCAGAGGATGCAGCGTAGATGAAAGACATCTAGGAGCACGGGGAGTGTGGGACGCAGCACTGCTGTGGTCAGCAGGTGTCGGGTGACCAGTCCGAGGGAACATTAGGAGGCAGCTCAGCCATCCATTCAGTAAGGTTTACTTGTATGTGCCACGACACTCAGGCAGTGACGGTGGCCTCCAGCAGCGGGGGTGGCTGGGATGAAGGGGTCGGCACATTCCAAAGGTAGCCAAGGCCGCTGCCTTCACTGCTGGTAGATCACGTCCCCCCGAGGTCCCTAGTGGCTGAGCTGGGTATGTCCTCAGAGGGGTGACACCACTCTACCACTGATGGCTGGCTAAGGGACTGGCTTGGGCTCGGCCCCACTGTCATCCTTGACCACCCCCCATGTTTGGCCCAGAGAAGAGGAGCATGTCTTTCTGTTCAGAAGCAGCTCCTGCAGGAGGAGCCTGTCCTAACCACTCTATCTGCAGGGGCCCCGCAATGAATCTCTTCTGCCATTTTTCCCTTCCGAGCCCTTATCACCACCCGTTAATATGGTTATGTCCTACCTGCCCTCGCACTGGAATGCAGCACACGCGGGCGGGAGCTTTGCCAGCTTTATCCCCAGAGCTCAGAACGTGCCAGGCACGTAGGAGACACCCAGCGTAGCCTCTCTCATGAGCGAGTGGCGTCCGGGCACTTAGCACTGAGGGAGTGTCATCTCCTTCGTACGCTTGCCGAGTGACCTCGAGGCCCGCCCTGGATTCCCGTGCCCTCCTTATCTGTGAAACGGCCACCTCGTGCCCTCCCACGTGGTCACGAAGGAGCCTCACAAAGGTTTGCAGGCTTGGGCGTCCGTCGCAGGAACCTGGGGGAGTTGAGATTTGGACGTTGGGCCGACATGCGCTCATTCTGCCTGTTTCCTTGTCTAGTTTATCCATGGTTGGTTGATCATGTCCTCTCTGATGCTGCTGTTCCTCTTCACCTATATCTACCTCGGGTGAGTGGCAGCTGGTGAGCCGTGAGGTCCTCGGGGACACCCCGCCCCCCGCAACATGAGTGGATATGAAGAACCTGGCTGGGAAGGGCACCTGTAGGGCTCCCCCCGCTCCCCGGCCACTGCGTCGAGAGCTCAGGCCTTCTTGACACAAGGCGTGGGCTCCACGGTGGGCCACATCTGGTCCCTAATGTAAATAAGTAGAGCCATCATAGAGGAGGCTCTCTCTGAACCCAAGGAGGGTAGAAACTTCTCAGAATTTACGTTATAATCTTTGGGCTGGGCCTGGATACTTCCTAGTTTATGGAGAAAGGGATCTCTACTGCCCTTGATTCGGGATAGCAGCCTGACCCAGGGACCCGAAGACTGGGGGCCAGGAGAGTCTTCTCTGCGGGCTGAGGGCCTTCCGGGTATGTGGCCAACCCAGGGCTGAGGTGTCGGTTTATGCCCCACAGCGTTCCACGAAGCACTTTAGGGGGTTGGTTGTAGGTCTCGTGGACATGGAGAAAGGGAAGCCAGAGGTAGGGAAAATCCCAGGCTGGGGCTTAGTGGTCGAGGAGCAGGGGGCGTTGAACTGCGTTGGGGTCTGACCTGTCCGCTGAGTCCCCTGGCCCCTGCCGGGCTCGACTGTGGTCCTGCAGGGAAGTGTTCAAGACCTACAACGTGGCCATGGACTACCCCACCCTGTTCCTGACCGTCTGGAACTTCGGGGCGGTGGGCATGGTGTGCATCCACTGGAAGGGCCCCCTGGTGCTGCAGCAGGCCTACCTCATCATGATCAGCGCGCTCATGGCCTTGGTGTTCATCAAGTACCTCCCGGAGTGGTCCGCGTGGGTCATCCTGGGCGCCATCTCTGTGTACGGTAGGTGGGCGCAGTGGAGCTGTGAGCCTGGTGTTGGACGGCGGGGCAGCGTCCAGGCCCAAGTCCTTGTCGCCGCACATGTGTGGCGGGTGCTGAAAGGTCCCGTTCCTCCCCGAGGGGCACGGATGGTCTCCCCTTTGAGAGGTTGGCCTCGTAAAGCACATGGGGTCCCATAGACTCGTGACCGTGGCCACGATTACTAATAATAGCAAATGTTTGTTGAGCACTCACACTCAGTTCCTGGGCACAATGCCTACAGATAACGAGCATGCAGAATGTTAGCTGCTGTTGAATTAGCGCTAGTGCGATGACCATCACTCGTACCGTTTCTTCCATTTTAGAGGTGAGGAATTTGGGACCCAGAGAAGCGGGACATCAGGTCCTTCCTCTTCCTCTCTGCAGTGGGCCCTCTCAGACCCCACTCAGGCCTCCAGCCAGTGGACACTCTAGTGACTGTGGCTGGAAACCTTTTGGCTGGATACTAGGGTGACAGGACATGTTCCGAGAGCCTCACCCTGGGATTCTGGGACACGTGTGTCCCCTACACGGGGGCATTAGAGGGCTGGCTCCGCCCTCTGGGTCTGCTTGGGAAGAAATGTCTTTTTTAACCCTCCAAGGACGTCTTTGTTTTCCCAGACCTCGTGGCTGTGCTGTGCCCCAAGGGGCCGCTGAGAATGCTGGTGGAGACCGCCCAGGAGAGAAACGAGCCCATCTTCCCTGCGCTGATATACTCATGTGAGTGGCCCCCACGCCGCCTCCGACCCGGGGTCAGAAGGCCCCAGAGGTGGCAGCCAGGGACGGCTTCCTGGCTGCAGCTCCAAATGGCCTAGGAGATGGGTACCCTTTTCCTGACCACAGGGAGGAGACGGCTTGGTGACCCCCGGAGGGGCTCCACCTTCTGGAGGTGACAGCGGCTGTGTCTTGATGTTTCACAGGGTGAAACTTGGGAAGGCAGAGCGGGAAGGGGGCTTCGTTCCATCCAGCCTCCAGTGGCATATAGGGGGTACAGACTGTACCCCCTCAGCCCTCTATGCTCCCGGGAAAGAACTTTGGAGAGGGGCCCTTCAGGGCAGGGCTCTTGGGGCGCAGGGCGCGCCTGCCTTTCCCCGAGCTCCCTCCACAGCTGCATGGCTGCTTGAAGTTAGGTCTGAAGGGAAGGCGCGTGGGAGGCTGCAGGGCTCGGCCGGGACGTAGGGCTTTGGGTTTATATGTGCATTCATCAGATGCGCGCCAGATCCCACTTCGTGGCAGGCGCTGTGCTGGATGTTGGGGGCGCAGCAGCAGACGAGGCCCCGGTGCTTGTTCACAGAGAGAGCCTGAGTCTCGGGCTCAGCTGTGCACAGGGTGCCCTGGGAACCCGTTTATGGAACAGCCGCAGGGCGCCAGCTGATCTCTGCCAAATGAAGAACTGAGTGGAGAATCGTTGGCTCTGTGGCGCGCTCCGGGCTCCGGGCGTGTTCGGTGGGTGAGGGGACCGCGTGCGGGGGGACCGAGACGGCGCCCGGACGTCCCTTCACCGTCTCTGCTCTGCGGGAGCTTACGGTTTAGAATGGGCGACAGACAGTGACTGAGCAGATAGATACGTCAGTCGGGACGTGCGTGCTCTATACAAGTATAAAGCAGGGTGAGCAGACCCTGGACCTCAGGGAAGTGGGGAGGCTGCCGTTTTGCATAAGGTGGCCATTTAGAGGCGTTTGACCAGAGACCGCCCTGCCTCAGGAAAATCTGGGGACAATTCCAGTCAGAGGGAACCGCAGCGAGTGCAAAGGCCCTGAGACAGGCGTGGGCCTGGCTGGGCAGGAGGGACACAGGAAGGGGCGAGGTCCAGGTCCGGGCGGGCGCCGCAGGCTGTGGCGAGGGCTTGGCTTTTACTCCTGAGTGACATGTGACGCCACTGGAAGATTTTGAACTGACCGGGCAGGTCTCTGAGTAGAGAATAAAGTATACTGAGGACGAGAGCGGAAGCGGGAGCTGGTTTCGGAGGCCGGAGGACAAGCTAGGAGGCAGGGGGCGTGCTGGGGCCCGGGGCAGCGGCAGAGGCAGGGACGGGTGGCTGGATTTCAGAGACGTTTTGGATGCAGCATCCGCGAGGTTAGCTGATGGTTGGGATGCACATCGTGAGAGAGTCGAGGCTGATGTCAGCGCTTTGGGCCTGAGCAGCAGAAAGGGTGGGACGGCCATTTCCGGGCAGGGAGACGACGCGGGGCAGGTGGAGGGCGTTAACAGCGTCGGGGCGCATGAGTCTGAGATGTCCACGGGACATGCAGCTGGAGAGCTGCAGGGACCAACGCAAGCTCAGGAGGAAGAGAGGAAACACAGACAGTACCACATGACCCAGCAGCCCCACGGACACGCAGTGGAATGGCGTTCCGTCTTAAAGAGGAAGGAGATTCTGACACATGCCACAGCGTGGATGAACCTTGAGGACATTACGCTGAGTGAATTAGGCCAGTCTCAAAAAGATAAATATTGTGGGATTCCACTTGTATGAGGTACCTAGAATAGTCAAACTGAGAGAGACAGAGGTAGAATGGTGGTCGCCAGGGCCTTGCCGGGGGGGGGGGGTGGGGGGCGGGCGGGAAGAGGGG